CCATAGACTTCTCATATTTAAAAAAAATATGAGAATATCCTCATCTCTTTTCATGCCTAGAAAACAGACCTCAGGAGACTGGCCAGAAGAAAGGCGTAGTCAAGGGCAAAGGAAGTTTCCAAAGTGAAAAAGAAACAGAGAAACTCCATTTCCAGGGATTACTGATCAAACCTGGCACAGCTGCTGGTTTTTCTCAGCAGGCACCTCAGGCTGGTCTCAGCCAGTCTCTGGAGGGTGGTGGTGACAGGACACAGGGCAGGCTGGCCCCAGGGACAGAGCCTGGGCAGCCAGACCAGGGCAGCAGGTGAGGAAACAGCAGCAGCCTCTTACAGAGAGCAGCCTCTCCTCAAAGAGGATTTCTGCTGCAAAACGTTGTGTGGGAGGCAGAACATGCTCGGGTCCTATGAGGATTTCAAACACTGATTTGTGTTATAAAAGCAAAACTCTCAGATTTATCCTCTTAGACATTGAGATCCCTCTCTTTTTTATTACTCTATTTTAATGATTAATTGATTTATTATACTCTGAGTTATTTCTATTTACCTTGTGCTTTATGTAGATGTTTTGATGACAATTTAAAACCCTGGGCTACTAATGCACACCAGCTGATGTGCTGTGTGCCCTTCTGAAGATCAGTCATAAAATGGGCACCACTCTGACCTGCTTAAACTATAAACTGAGGATTTCATCAGTGCATGGGACAAATATATATCTGCTTCAAAAGCATTAAATTATATTTCACTCCCACAGGACAGATGGGTGCACATGGCACTTGCCAGTCAGCTTCCATAGGAAAGAAAACTTGTGGTACTCCTGGAGTCAGTCATCTGCATTTCAAAGTGGACAAAAAGTTTTCTGAACTCAAGGGAGGGAGAAGTGGACATTTAAAGTCATGTTTTCTATCATAGCTATTGATGGAAATAAGTTCAGATTGTTACAGTTTTCATATGAAATTTAAAGAGTTAGAATATGAAATATGCTACACTTTAGAATGAATTATATCTATTATTTAAGCATATCATCTTGAAATATCAAAATAAATCTTTTTTTCCACTCTGGTAGTTTAAAGAGATGATAATTTTTAATTTATCAGTAATTTTATTTATTTTCACCTTATTTTCTGATATGTGTAGGGAGTAAATATTAAACTATCCACATCTCCAGTTACCTGGACATTCCACCTGTTTTTAGAATACTTCTTAACCAAAAGCATGTGTTTAATGAACACAGAAATTAGAGATGACTTAAAGTTAACAGATACTTGGTGTGTTAGCTGATACACTACATACTTTGCTCTGTTCTTGTAAATATGCTGGGCAATGGATGTAAAAAACTGCATTTCAAATGCAGGTTACACAGCGTAGTTAGTTTATAATTCATATAAGAAATTTATTATTAAGTCTTCAGAGATGTATGTTTTAAGCCTTTTAGCCCTAGGCCAGCATCATTGGCAGTGTGTTTGTATCTAGTAAATCTGTGATGCTGGGCACAGACATAGACACAGATCTGTGTTTGCTTGCACTGCTTGCACTCTCACTTCACTGGATTTTCTAGATTGTGCCAAAAATCACAAACTTAAAAGGATCCATGAGAGCAGATTGTTAACTTCAGTAATTGATCATTTAAGTAGCTTGATGTCTTCGGAAAAAAAAAAATGTTCCTCTGTGTCATTACTTTTTGTTTACCTTGCACTTCTTGCACCTCTTAGGGTTTGGGTATTTATACATATATATATATATATATATATATATATATATATATATATATATTTATATAGGTGTATATATAGTCAGATTGCCTTTGTCCTCCTTGTAGGGAGAAAAAACCCAAGAAACAAAACAAATACTCAACTTACTTCCCTTCACACCCTCTAAAACAAATCAGAGTTACTATAGAAACAGCTATTAAACAGAGAGTAGCAGTGATTAACAACATCTGCAAGTGCAATATGAAGTCTACAACACAATTAATTCCAACATTTGGAGTGGTTTGTGCAGAGCTGCCCTTTGTTGCTTTGCATGGAATGGCAGACTGTACAGACCCAATTATAACAAGGGGGTTTAATATTACCATAGTGATATATTATGGCTTCTGAAATACTTTGGACTGTTGAGGCATTAACCCATATAAATAAATTACATCATTATTATATAGCTTAATGGCACATGATTCCAGAAAGAATTGGACCCATATAGATACTATGGGCAAATGCACACATTTTACTTTATCCTTTCAAATACAACAACATAAAAATCTCACTTGCTGCTGAAATGAGAGCAGGAGCTTGAAATGTAACTTTTTTAATCCATTCCTTCATTTGAATTCTAGAGATATGGGCAGATCAGATGTAGAAGTTTACCTACAGGTGCTTTTATCTTTTGACTTTTCACTTTAAAAGTCAAAATGGATTTTTTTAAGAACAGCCAATTAAAGATTTTTAATAAATCATGAAAGAGAGGAGAGAACTTATATGTCTTCAGGCTTTATTGAAGCAGGAATACTATAAATATTTATTTGTTATTTTATTATCTCTTAAGGCTACTCGGCATGAAGTCTACCATCCATCCCACTAGTTTCCCTCATTAAAAACTATTAGCATACAAAAGATTCAAATTTTCCTTACATAATCTTTGCAGCTGGTGTAAAATGTGTAGCAGAAGCTATCTTACCAGATTGAGGTGTGCTGTGTTATACAGGAGGGAGCTCTGCCTTCTCCCTGAACTCAGGGCTTGGGTGTTGTGCTCCTTTGGGAGCTCTGTGTCCTTTGTCACCTGAGCTGATCAGCCCTGCTTAGGGGCAGGGCACAGCAGATGGGCCTGACCTGGCTCTGATCCAGCACAGGGCAAAGTTTCTGCTCTGCTCCCCTGGCACAACAGAGACCTGGCTTCTTCCTGCCACTCTTTGTGCCATCTTTTACAACTAAATGGACAAGTGCACTTGTGCAGACCACACCTCTCTTGGTGAGCTCGTGTGACACTGTTCACAGGGGTTCTTGGATGAGGGAAGAGATGAGAATGTTGACTCCATGTTCAGAAGGCTTGATTTATTATTTTATGATATATATTACATTATAACTATACTAAAGAATAGAAGGAAAATTTCATCTCAGAAGGCTAGCTAAGAATGGAATGGAACGAATAACAAAGGTCTGTGGCTCGGACAGAGACCCAAGCTAACTGGGCTGTGGTTGGCTATTAATTGGAAACATCCAAGATGGGCCAATCACAGATGCACCTGTTGCATTCCACAGCAGCAGATAATCATTGTTTACATTTTGTTGCTGAAACCTCTCAGCTTCTCAGCAGGAAAAATCCTAAGAAATGGATTTGCATAAAAGATGTCTGCGACAAGCTCGTTCCTCTTTTTCCTCTTTGTCACCTCTCCTACTTACTGGCACGTCTTCCTTATCTGCACACAATTTTTCTTCCCTTTACTGTCTCATCTTCCTAGTGATTTTTTTCCTCCTCATCCCTGTTTTCCTGATTCACTTTACCCTTTCCTCACCTATTTCCTTTTGAAAAATTTCTTTTCCTTGTATGATACATAATGAAGACAATATGCACGTCTTTATTTCCACATGCATAACCTTTCTTCTTGATATTTACCTTCTTGTTCTTTTCTTATTTTTGCTCTACAATCGTTCATTCTCCATCCATCTCCATCTCCACTTTTTCTCCATCCCCCTTCCCAGTATTCCTTCTAAGTTATTTTTGTATTTACTACTAGTTTATAAAGCAAATCAACCAGGATACCAATGCCATCTCAAGAACCCATATTTTAGGATAGGATGAACCATTCAGTGGAGGTGCTGGTCCATGCCCATTGACTTCAACTGGGTAAGAAAAAAAGGAAGCACTTTTCTCATAGGATCTATGAGTATCTCACCCAACGCAGAACAGAAACAGCAACAGATGTGCTCCAAAAAAGGAAGGCAAATACAACCTTCCTACTAAAGTTCAGCCTACCCTGTTGAACTTCCAAAACCAGCATCTGTGGCTGGATAGCACAACAGCACCTGTTCCTTCGCAGGAATATTGCAGTAAAATCTCAGCAATAACTTTGGAATGTACCTTTGATAACCACCTGGTTAATTAGGTTAAATGGATTAAGTAATATGAGATGCTGAGATGGCTTAATTCCATTTGGCTGACAGTGGTTTGCAATGATTATTCTGTTGCCATCACAGAGAGTGCATCTCCATGGGTCCATGTACCTTCTTTTAGTCCTATGAAGTGGCAAGAGACCAGATTTCAGGAGAGGCCCATCCTTACATTTAGAAAATCATTTACTGGCATAGGAATGTATCTCACAGGGTGAAAACAATGGAGAAAATTGTCCGATTTGGGAGATTAAAGAAGAAATATATATATATATATATATATATATATATATATATATATATATATATATTTGGTTTCAAGAAAGAACTGTATATGCTTCAAGTCAATGAAAGGGATGGATTAAACTAAATTGAAATAGATTAGGGACTTGGTAGAAAATAGACAAGGTTGTACAAAAATACTGTCAATTTCAAATTTATAAAAAATATGTTATTTGTATAAGACTGCTCTTAGAAGTTGTATTTCTTTACAAGTTCAGAACATACCACAGTTTAACATTTATAATTGAGGGTGCTCTCCAGCAAGATGACTGACATTTATGGTTTTCTGAGAATAGTGTCACAACAACGAGATTTACAAGGAGCACTTTTATATTATACTGTGAAATATAACACAGTGCTTAATGAACAAAAAAATTCCTTTGAAACTCAGAAACATATTAATGATAATATTAGAATGAACAGAGTTTTACAGAACCAAACTATTATTTCCATATAGTGCTACAGTGTAAGCTCTGCTTACCAACAACTAAAACATCCCTGTATTATCAACACTGTTTTCAACATAACCCCAAAGCAAAGGCCCATACTAGCTACTCTGGAGAAAATCAACTCTACACCAAGCAAAATCAGCACCATGGATGAAGTTTTATACTGTAACTTGGTTATAAACTATTTTTATTTTTATTCACTGGGAGAAATTTTATTGTTCTAGACTCCAAGTTTCAATATTAAGTTATCCCAAAGTTATTGTTGGTTTAACCGCAGTATCAAAAAACCCAAGTGTGAAAATGTGTACAGCTCTAATGACTAGAATTAGAATGAATGCTTTCCTCAAGTCTGACAATAACAAGAAAAGCATAAACAGTCTTATCAAATAGTGAAGGTTTTGCTACCAGATCCATCCAGCATGCTTACTCAAATATGAACAAACACAAGGGTGAGAACTAAACAGTGTTGATTATCTTGCTGGTGGTTGTAAGTCACAATGCAATATAAATTTTATCAAATTCAAATATGTAAAACAATTCATTCCACTTGCAATGGGCTGGATCTTACATTTCCATCTGGTGCAGACTCCAATAAGACCATTTTACCCCTGAAATTAGAAATTGAGATCAGGCTGTCCCTAGTCAGTCCTGCACTAGCAAATGGAATGAGAACTATTCAGCAAGAATATCCCCTCCTTCCCTATGTAAAACACAGACATAAAGAAGATATTACAAGCCAAGAAGAAAATAGTATTTTGGTATGTGGCATTGATTATCATAGAACTACACAACCACAGAATCATTTAGGTTGGAATAATTTATTTTTAAATCTATACAGCTCAACTGCTAACCCAGCACTGCCAAGTCCACCACCAAACCATGTCCCTGAATGCCACATATGCACATCTTTTAAATACCCCCAGGTATGGTGACTCAACCACTTCACTGGGCTGTCTGTTCCAGCGCTTGAAAACCCTTTCCATGAGGAAATTTTTTCTAATACCCCATCTAAACCTTCCCTGGTGCAACTTGAGGCCATTTCCACTTGTTCTATTACTTGTTACTCACAAGAAGAGACTGACCCCACCTTTCTACATCCTCTTTTAAGGCAGTTGTACAGAGTAATAAAGTCCACCATGAGCCTCCTTTTATCCAGACTAAACATCCACAGCTCCCTCAGCTGCTCCTCATCAGAATTGTGCTTTACACCTTTCTCCAGGGTCATACACACACTTTTTGCCATATTTCAGCAAGCACATTTGGCTGAACCCATCAACATCTGGGAGTCCCATCTAGTGAAGCATGTGTTATACCAAGCACAAAGGTGGAATGTGCTCAGCAAAATGCTGATGAGGGCTGGCAAGAATAAAGCCAGTACAGATTTACTGCCTATTATGCCCCCACAAAAGACACTTAACACACTTGGTAATCCTGCCTCATCTATTCACACAAGTGCTGCAATCACTGCAAGTGTGGTCTTAACCTGTCACTGGCTTCAAGAATTTTTCTGAAAATGCTGATTGCTAACAAATGAGTTTATATACAAGTATAAAACCAGATTAATAAAATTTTGATTCTGATGCTAACATAAAAAATTTGAATTCTTAAAAAATGATTAAGAGACAGAGGGCTTTGCTCCTTTGTCTTTTATGCTAGATTTGCAATGGTGTAAATAAGACATGAAAACATAAATAATATATCCAAAAAGGAAACAAAAGAGAAAAGCTTGATCATTAATTAATACTTGCCACAGATTAAATGAACTGAGAAGAAGCCTTTGATGCAAATAAAATGTTGTAGCTTTGCAATAGGAATTTTTTTCTGACAAATAGACTACCAGATTTCCAGTACTTTCAGTAGATTCATAGAATAGAATCTTTTATGTTGGAAAGGATCTTTAAGGCAAGAGTCCAACCACAAGCCTAACCCTGCCAAGTCCACCAAACAGCTACGCAGCAAACTTTCAGTAAGATACTTCATTATATCAGTACCTGTTGCTCCTGTGCTCATTCACAGAAAGGTCTCAGTCAGATATGAGAGGCAATAAATTTAGAATGAAGTAAGAATGAAGATTTACTTTTGTTGTTTGTCATTCAAGTACTTAAAGAAAAAGATTTGTCTGCTGTAATAGATCTTTAGGAGTCTCAATGCAGATAAATCACAAGAATTTCTGCAGTGCAATGTTTCTGTGAAGTACATGCCATGTATTTAAAACAGTGACCGTATAAGAAAATTGTTTAATCAGCAAATGTAAAGAAATTGATTGTTTAGGAAACTTGAATGGCTTTTTAAAACTTCATGATGGAACTACATTTGTGCTTTATTTTTTTCTGCATTATGGGAGGGTGAAAACATACCAAGAAACTGAACTCTGCTAATTTAATGTTTCATGCCAATCACACTTTCTTGTTGAAGGTAGTGGGAACTCATTTGAGGCCTATTCCTCATGTGCACACAGCTGTAGGATGATGTCAGCATTTCTAAACATTCTGCATCTTTATTAAATACCTGGAAAATTAATGAATTTTTAGGCCATAAATAACTAGGTGAACCAAAGACTGGGTGATTACTAAATAATAAATTGTTCATGGAATAAATCCTGCTTTCTTTTCTTCCCCATGCTTCAGGCTGGCACTGGATTCCTGAGTTTCAGATTCAAAAAAAGGCAAAACTTCAAAACCTGACTTCCAGCCTTACTTAATTTTACAGAAAAACTGTTATTTGATTCTACCTTTTCTCAAATCTGGGCTCCAGTTCAAGTTTACTTGTAAATCCTGAAAAGCTTGCAGGTTGATCTTGAGTTGTCTATCACAGAATGCCACTGCCCTTGTCAAGCTCCATTTTCCAGCCCTGGCTGCTCCTCTACACCTCAAGCAGCTTGTTTGGAGCTAACCTGTGTATTTCTCCTCCAAGCTGGAGCCTCAAATAGACAACTTCTCTCTTTCGTCCCTGAGTTTCAGTGAGCTCCACAGTACACTCACACTGCCCACAGTAGGATTAACTTGTAGAGGGCCTTGTTATATAGCTGTAAATAGCACAGTAGATTGCAAGCTTTCAATACTTCTTTTTTAAATCATAGCAGTATTTCCTCTAGAATGTTTTTCACTTTTCAGCTGTTGCTTAGTGTATTAGTACTGATTGATCCAGACCTTACAGTACTTGAAACAAAAATACTAACTTGACTATGGGGTGTCAAGCAACCCATGCATTGCACAGTTCCATTGCCATTCCATGTGTTACTGTTGTTGGAACTATTTGCAACTATAATTATTGCCCTAAGAAGCTCTATAAGCATCAGAAGAGAGGCTTACAGAAAATTGTACTAATGATGAAAGAAACATTCCTGTGTAGCCCTTTAGTTATCTATTTATTAATTTACATTATCATTTCCTGATCTTCTGGTCTCCTTTGCATTATATTGAAATGGTACTTGTGAGTGAGGGTGGTCTTGCTTATTCTCACCTACCGTGAGTGAGGGTGGTCTTGCTTATTCTCACCTACCAAAACCATTTCCTCTGTGTGTTTTCACAATTACTTGCACTCTCCCTTTCCCACACCAACGTGTCAGTACTTTTCTGTTTGCCCACTCCAGAGGGTTATCCCCTGGGAGAACACCTCTTTCCCAGCTCAGTGCCCACAGCTTGCTCAACAGGCCCTTGGGGGCAGCACCGCTGGGAATTTAACATGAACTTTCCTGCTGAGAAGAGAATAAATGGGCATATGCTTGATCCTTCAGGCAGGGAAGGAGCCAGGTGGGGCATTCCCATTTATTCTGGAGGGGTGTTGCCAGTGTTAATCCATTACTGTGCTGCCCACTGCAAAACTGCAGGTGTTTTGGGGCACAACTAACTGAAGAACATCTGGTTCCTGATAACTCAGCAGAGTTTAGGCATGAACTTGAGCCAAACTCCCAAGTCCTATCAAGGAGCAGAATCAGTGTTTTTGTTCAATATTCATGTTCATAACTGAATTGATGTTAACTTGATGCTGGTAACGCTACCCTTAGTTTGAGAGCCCAAAAATGAGGAGCTTTATTTAAGTAAATTACTTTATCTAAGTAAATTTGTCATGGTCTTGCGCAACCTGTACTAGTTCACATCTCCAGCCCCTTTCCTCTGTTTATTTCTCTAAGACTTTAATCCATTCCCCACCATCTTTCTACCCCAGATCTCCTCAAAATCTGTCTCATGTGAAGCAGGACTTTTGTGTCACAAGGCCATGACTGTGCTGGTACCCTTGACATCCCCGTGGGGAAGCAGAGATGCTCAGCTGAGCAGTTACAGGTAGGTACCCAAGGAGGTGCCACTTTATGTGGCAAAACTGCCAGGCCTGTGGAGACCAACAAAAGCTGAGCTATAGATACTCTTCAGATAGTTTGAGTCTGAAGGCTGCAGAACCATTTTAGAAAATGCTATTTCAAACTTGCATCCAAATCCTGATGAATCCTACGTACCTATGGGTAGGTGGATAGGTGAAGACAACTGGGAGTTCTTCCCACGAGCTCCCAAGTGCCAGCTCCAATCCAGAGACAATGTGGATGAGTGACTGCATGCTTTACAGATTGCAACTGAAATATCGTGCTGGCTTTGAGCCCGGGCAATGTGAGCACTCAATTCTTCATTTGTGCATCTCAGTATTGATCCCCTCGCCACCTTTAAAATAGAGATCAGCACTTTCCTATTTTATGGAAATTGTTGTGAGTTGATACATTCAAGATGTGATCCTTAAATACAAAGGATGTGAAAGCAAAATGAATATTGGGTCAGCTCTTTCATTTTCACCTGTTGAACTAAGTAAATATAAATATGAAATGACATAGAAAGAAAAAACAAACAAAGCCAACCCACAGATCAAAAAGAAAATAGATTTGTCACTGAACTTTTAACTGCTTTAACAAATAGGCTAAGCAATATTTCCCCGGATTACTTTTTACATTTATACCGAGAGCGTATAGTTGCCACAGAGACTGGTGTGCGTGAACAAGCGAAAGGAGGCGAGAGGCAATGCGTCCTGTGGATTTCCAGAGGGATCTGAAATGAATGACCGGGTTAGCGATGCGGCGGGGCGGGGGTGCAGCCCGAGGAGCCCCGGCC